TTGTGCGCTGCCACAGGGTTTTTGAGCATGTGTCTTCTTTTTTTTGGGGAGGAAGTTTGAGGTTTGAGGGGCTCTGGAATCGCAAGGAGTCCCCGGCTTCTTGGGAGATCGACCATGTCTTCGAGGCCTCAGACAAGAACCGCGACGGCTTCGTGACGGCCCAGGAGCTCAAGGAAGGTCTCGCCAGCCTCGGCTGTGAGATCAGCGACCAGCAGCTGGCGGAGCTTATGGGGGGCCAGCAAACTCTACGCCGCGCCGAGCACCCTTGCAGCAGCCCATAGTATCATCTCATTTCAAGTCATAGAAATTTCCTTTCTTGGCTCAAAGGCTGGCGCAGCTCCTTGCAAAAAAGCAGGACCTCGTTACCAGGAGGCCGTCGAAGCATGTCGCCTCCTCCTCGGACGAAGGCCAGCATCTCAATAGCGGATCTTGCTCGGTGATTTCACACGCAGAGCCCTGCGAGGTGTCTCCACTGCACCACAGGACACCGTTGGAGGGCGACGAAGATTCAGCAAGCCCTGCGAAGCGTGTGACACAGTAAGTTAACGCTCACGCATTGTGCGCCCGCCGGACTGATATCCGAGATGCACTCTTCAATGCTAGACCTTTGCTCGACAGCACACCTATGCCTATCCAGAATAAAACTCCGCATACGTCAGCGTTCATCGCATCTGCGTGTTATGGACCAGTGAAGCGTATGGCGCATCTCTCGAAACGCTGAAGCCCGAATCCTTGAACTACAGGACGACACAGCGAAAGCTGACGGCTGATCCTGACGGGGTGGCAGCAAAACAAGCGCCGGCCGATTTTGTTTCATCCATCTCATGGGCTTCAGTTCACGACGGGTCCGTCATTCGGGAGTCCCTGTACCTGTTCAGGATACTGTTACTATGATTTGAAATCTGGTTGGGGCTTTTCTGATGTATTGCAACCCTCAGATTGACAAGAAGCTGTCAGTGGTTTCTGTCGTTCTGATTATTCAATAGAAGACACTGTCAGTGACCTTTGTGAGTGCCTCGGCAGGCGCAACCTGCGATTCTCTCTTTGCGTGGCCTTCGCCAGTTTGGGCGAGGCAGGAAGAGGCGCGTGGCAGTAGGTTGACATATGAGGGTTCTTCAGCATGGGAGTACCCTGCTTGGGTGTCAGCATTGGGGTTCCCTAGTTTCTGAAGCTCCCGCATGATTCAGATCTCTCAGCCAACCCCAGCAGAGCCCTTCGTCACTTTGTGCAGGCCTGCGATTCATCGAGAAAAGAAAGGCAGGGAGCATCGCTGAAGTCAACCCTGAAAAAGTGCATGCACAGGCTTGGTGCCTTCGAGTGACGCTTCCAAGCTGCGTAGTTCATAGACACCGCAAAGCCACATGGCATGTCGGACCTACATGCTTCGGATGGCAGACGGCCAAACGTACGGCAACTGGTAGCTCACACTCCTCTCCAAGCAACATCAACCCATCAGTAGGGGTTGCTCGGTCTGCAATCCCATGCGATCTACATTGCGTAGACGAAATGGGTAGAATTGCAGCTCTTGCAGCGCGTCTGCAACGAATGTGTGGTGCCAGTCCACACTGGCCGTTCAGCTTGGGTGTCTCTGAGATCAACTTGCTGGACCCTGCATCTCGACAAAGCCTCCTGAAGACATGCCAGCGTGCTGACTCACGACCTTGCTCAGCTGCAGGCCTATGGACACACCCAAGCAACAACGAAGCAACATACAGCTTCCTTGACTGCGGATGTGTCCGCGACGGTTTCAAGGCTTGGCCGAGCAATGGCCGCCGTGGCATCTCCGGACCTCGGCTACTTCCCGCAGCTGGGCTGGGGAAATGCCGGGCTGTTTTTGGGACGCTTGTGTGCGTTTGTTTGTTACCCTTTGTTTTGTTTGTGTGCTGAGTGATAATTAGGTCCAGGTCGTCATCGAGGTGTTCGCACAACCTCGCCCGCGACCAAAGCTTTCACCCGAAGCGCCTATACCGTCCTACATTCTTACACCCTCAACCTGCTCCGGAGCTGTAGGTCACGGCTCATCCGAAAGCCGCAGAGGCCCAAAAGCCGGCGGAAGTTCCGCCACAGAGATCCGCTTCAGCTTCAGCTGCGGCGTTGAAAGCGGGGGCGTCTCAGGAGGTCGCCGACCTGCACCCCGTGGCCATGGTAGGGCGCTCAGCGAAGCGCTACTTCGGCGGCACAGCTCGGTAGTGGCCTGTGGCCTTTGGCCCCCAAGAGGCGCACCTGCACAAGTTGCACAGCCGGCCCGCGCCCCACAGCGAGCCCGAGCCAGACGCCGCGAACGTGTGCGAGCGGAGCGTAGCCGCCGCTCCCAGGCTGAGAGCTGGCGGTCTGGGCAAAAGTCGGCTCCCCGGACCCGGGGCTCTCTCCTCTAAAAATTTTAAGCGCGTCGTATAGTATGCGCTCTGCGATGCTCGGCCGTTATGAGGCGACTCGAGGGGATCTCCTGCTGGGGAGGGTCAGCGCTTTCGCGTGGACAACGGCTTCCTGAGGGCCGACTCCAAGGGTCGGGAGAGCGGAGAGCGGGGGGGGGAGGGGGGGGGTTCTGTGCCTTTGCTCTCTTGGGAAGGTCTCGGCTTCCGGCAGACGAAGGACCTCAAGGCGAGGCGCGTCAGAGGAGGCGTCCTTTGTTTCGAAGCGGCGGCCCCCACAGAAACTGGGTCGCCGCTCCCAGGCACTGATCCCCGGGGCCGTGGCCGCTTGGGGAAGCTCGGCGTCAGCCTCAGACGAAACCCGCGGCGAAGTTCCTCAGAGACAGAGACAGAGACGCGACGCCGGGCCGGAGCTTCGGCGCAGTAGTGTGAGGTTCTTGGAGCAGATGAGGGCGACGGCTGGCTGCGGGTCTGGCGCTCTCGGCCCTTTGAGGTTCAGTCAGTCCCTTAAGTGCGGCGATGCTCCCTTAAGGTCCAGGGCAAGTTCCTGCCCATGTTCGTCAACGGGATTCCGGTCCTCTCCCCTGAGGTGCCCGTAGGAGGGAGAGCCCCCTCTCAGTCTCAGACTCTGTGAGTCCTGAAATTTCCCCCCCCCCCCCCTTCCTTAAGGCCTTCCTTTTCACCCTCTGAGAAAGGTGGGACAGGCTTCTTTTTTTTTAAGCGCAGCCCTTGGTGTCTCTTTGCTCTGCAAGCACCTGCCAGGGACCCCCGGCGCCGGCGCCCGTGCCCTGGCGGCCAGAGCCTCAGAGGTGGGCCTCAGTGGCCTCGTCTGCGCCTTCCTTTAAGAGACAGACACAAAAAGTTGAGCTCAAGGCACAACACACAAAATAGGAATCGATTCCTTCCTGGCTGCTTGCGCAGCACAGAGATGAGGTTGCGATGCACGTTCTGACCCCCCCCTGCAGTCTGCCTTTTTTTGTTTTCTCTCTCTCTCGCTCTCGCCGAAGGTCGGGTCACGCTCTGCCGAGCCCCGCGCATGCTTCCCGGGCACTCGAAACCCAACCGGTCCCAGCCTATAGCGGTGCCTCTTTTCCCAGTGGCCGAGCGAGGTCTCCGCGCTCTCAGAGAAGCGCGTCTAGCGCAGGCGCCGGCTCGTGAACAACGGCTTCTTTAACTTTGCCCTCGCAGTATGGTGTCGACTCGGTCCTTACCGGTCACAGCTCTGCCTGCAAAGGTGCTTTTGCAGACGCGGACACGCAGCTCGCCCCGTACCCGCCCGTGCCAGAGCGTTCCCGACCTCTGACTTCTGCGGTTCGTGATGTTCAGTACCAAGGCCACCGTTCGCCACTCCTCTTGCTGCCGGGGTTCTCCCGCCGATGGGTCCGTTGAGCTTCATGGCTCCGATTGGGAGCCTGGCGCCGCCGATGGGTCCCTTTGCCCAGGCCTGCACATGGGACTCGTCCAGTTTCGTTTTCCTTTTTGCAGGTCTTTGTTGGGGTTTTGGAAGTTACGGGCTTTCGGGGTCTCAGGGCTTCGAGCCCTTGGCCCCTTGGCCCTTCTCTTCAGGCGCTGGGCCTCGGGGGCCTTGCTGCTGTGCCCACGCCGTGTCGGCTGCCGCGCAGGCTCCCGACGCAGGTGCGAGCAAGACAGCGTACAGCATACCAAGGAGCCGACTGTTGCATTGGAGGTCTGTATTCCCAGGTCTATGCTTGAGTCCCGTGATTATTGTCTGAAGCATTTGGAGCCATTTCGACGTCTCTCTTGCCTTAGGGTTTATAGGGTTTAGGGACATTCTGGCAGGCTTTTCCAGACTTCCGCGTGCTGTTTGAAGAGTTGGCATCGAACTTACGTCACATGTAGTATGTCACGTACATGATCACATGGTGGCTCACTGTTGGGTGATCCATGCTGTGGCGCAGGAGCAGGGCTTTGTAAGCTTCGCACTTCGCTTCGCTTCGCTTCGCTTCGCGCTTCAGGTCTCCCTTCTCCAAAAGTCCGGACCTCGGCCGGTCCCTTTAAACAGCTCTCGCAGTGGCTCCGGGCTCTCAGGTGCCAGAAGAAGGTGGCGAGGGGATCCCATCCGAGCCCGCGGCCCAAGTCCGCATGGAGTTGGAGTCTCTGGGGACGCGCAAGGCAAGTCGTCGCTCACGTAACCCTGCCGTGTAGTGGGCTCAAGAACCAAGTTAGCACTCAAGGTCACCTTCTTTCAATCCAGCTGCCTCAGGTCGTGCATGAGCTTTGTAATTAGTCTTCGGGTGTTGAGCGGCAGCTTCTTATCGCTCCGATGATGGTTCCGGAGAGCACGCTTGAGAACACCACCTGCACCGGTGGCCTTCTTCTGGTGATCTTTGTGAGCCTGGCCCTATGCAGCCAGAGGCAAGGACGCCAGAAAGCTCCGAAGGATGAGAGCTTGAGCTCGTCCCTCTCATCCCCCCAAAACGAGAGATGCTGTGCGATCTGTTTGGAGCAAATGCGGGCCGAGGAGCCCACCTCGGTAGACTCGGCGAAGAGTTTGAAGTCTTTGCTCAAAGTCGAACTCTGCCGCTTGCCCTGTGGCCACGTCTTTCATCACACCTGCCTCAGTCGCTGGTTCAAAGTCCAAGAGAGCTGCCCTTACAGATGTGATGCCTCCTGCGAAGACTCCCGCAACTCCCGCGACCGCGAGAGGGCCCAAGTGGAGGTGGACCGCACTGAGCGAGAGGGACGCCGGGAAGAGTCCGATGCGTGGTGCTTTGTAACCAGCGCCGAGCGGTGCAGAGCCACTCGGACCAAGCGTAGCAGCGTAGCCGTACTTTGTCTGGGAAGTGATCCGGAAAAGAGTCTGTGTGTCTATCTGTCTATCTATCTATCTATCTATCTATCTATCTATATCTATCTAATATTATCTAATGTCTTACTCTGGAATCCGATAAAAGAGGCTGCCAGAGCGGCGTACCGGCGATGCCTCGGCCTCTGAACTTGCTGAGCCTTTCCTGAGGCTCCCGGTCGCTTTGACACTGGGACAAGGCAAAGAGAGGAAAGGAGAGGAGAGGAGAGAGGGGAGGGGGTTTAGGGTTTAGGGTTTAGGGTTTAGGGTTTAGGGGATTCGGAGAGAGGGGCCTAGGGGCCTAGGCTCAGCCTAACTAGACTCCCAGCCTCGCGTAGGGGGCGAAGCGCTCCAGAGGCACAGTCTGCGCCTGGTATTTCTGCCGTTGTACAGCCCCGCAGTAATGACGAGGGAGGCGTTCGGGGTGTTGCTGTCCTGGCAACAGCCCGACAGCACGTGTATGTACATACTAGGAGATGTCGCAAGCCTTCAATTGGCCACAAGTGCCCATGCATTCTGCTGGGACAGCCGCAGTCCTAGATTGACTCCGGTCGAAGCAACGAAAAGCCGAGATCGGGAGCCACAGATGGTGCAAAGATGGGACGCTCATGAGCACCCTTGCTAAACCAGGGAAGGAGCTGGCGATGCTGGAGAATTTGGAGAGGCTGCGCGGGGACTGAAGATACCCGTATCCTCTCCATTGACTAGAGAGATTCCCCTAATCGCGCGAAGTTGTCTCCTCTTTTCAGGCTCCTCGCGGAGGAGCTGCGAGTAGGGGGACACGCGGCATCCTGGCCCGGGGCTCAGGCTCCGAGGAGCTCCAAGTGTTTTTTTTTTTTGCACTGGGCCGAAGCAGATCCGATATGGGTAGTTGTCAAAATTATGGTCCCTCTTGGGGCACCCTAAAAAATAGGTGCCGTATTTTAATAAGGACCCAAAAAAGGGACCATAATTTTGACAACCACCCATATGAAGAGCCAAAAAAGAGCCAAAAAGAGAGGCACTACTTGCTGCAAGAGCTGGCGCTCACGCGGCAGGCTCTGCAAGGCCTCTTTGGGATCCGTAAGGAACCACACTCTAGCGACTCGAGGGCCCTAGAAAACCCCGTAAAGTGAGGGGACCACCTCTCTTTTGTCTTGCCCACGATTCTGCCGGCGAGAGTCTCAGGACTCAGGACCCTTAATGATGAACTTGGACCAGGGACTTCTGAAAAGTTGACTCAAGTCTTTCGAAGAGCCAAAAGCAGCGTCAGTGAGCTCGGCTTTCTGCCAGGGGCTAAAGCGGAGCCGGAGCATCGAGGCCAAGGCCAAGGCCGCGGCTCCGCGCAGTTTTTGGGCCTTCTCTTGGCCCCCCCCCTTTCTTCTCAAGGCGATATTTTCGGGTGTGAGACGTGCGTGTTCAAGCAGATTAAAACCTTTATGAAGTAAGGCCCACCTTGCGCAAAGGAAATGCGGCCGGCTTGCAAGAACAGGTGTTCCAGTTTGCTCTGCTCGCCATCACATGCAAGAAAGCTTTTAGCTTCTATTGTCGTTTTGACTCACTTGATGTCGTGCTTATGTCTACCCGTAGATGGTGTAGGCTGAACCGAAAAATGCATCACTTCTTCACCTTCGACATTGGTCCTCAGACGCTGGCAGCTACAGCTACACGCCTGGCAACTGGCGACGATGCCGAAGCAGAAGACGGTGACGTGTAGTTCTTGTACCGTGAGACGACCCCGTGAGACGACCCGGTCAGGAAGTCCTGAAACCCCTGCTGACAAAGGCTGCTGCGCAGTAAAGCAGCACGTAAAGCCACTGAAGCTGGAGCCGACGTGTGTCAAGAGGTGGACAGTCAACTAAAGAAGCTGGACCCTGAGCTGCTACGATGGCGCAAACATTTCGTGGAGAAGTCCGCTAAGGGAATGTATGAGGTCGATCTGGTGATGCTTTGCTCTTGCATGTACCGTCCTTGTTGGGTCGTGCATCGACCCCAAACGGGCGTGAAAAGCTGCCTCTGAAAATCCTTGGGGCCTCAGCAGCATGGAATAGGCTTTCGGAGACCCAAGTTTGCATGGAATAGGCTTTCGGAGACCCAAGTTTGCCACGCATCGCACAGCGCGATCCAGGCTTCACGCCCCAAATATCTATAGTTTTTTTTGCTGCTGTTCCCGATCAGAGCTGATGACCGTCCGGGACATCCTTGAAATTGCGTTCTCGAGATGATATTTCCTTCTTGCGCTCGGTTACTTTTCTGACTTGTCAGATCATTGCCCCAATGAAGCTAGACTTCTTTCTTGTCGGCAATGATCGTGGGCCTCGTATCTTCAGTGCAGTTGCTTTTCACCGGTTTATTGCGGGGTCTTCAAAGGCCATGGAGGAAGCAGGCTTGTCAGATTACTGGCTGCTTTCTGCCTTTTCCTCCCTGCCTTTCTGTTCGTTGATCTTGAAAGGATACTGATTGCTGAAGCCGCAGCAACCGATAGGATCCTGCTGTGCGCAGGCACTCACTTCTGCGCCAAAAAGCAAGCGTCAAGCGTTTGTATGCGTGACCGGAAAAATCTCTGCTCAAAGTGAGTTTAGGGCAGCTACATCATGGAGGGGAGAGATTGAGGGTTTAGGGTTCCGGCTGTTTCACCTGCCAGGGCTGCTGAACTCTGTCGACTACTCGGCGGTGTCAAGACCTCATTCTCCAGCCTTCTTGTTGAAATGCAGGGAAGCATCCATAATGCTCTTAAACCTCAAGCCCTCATCCGGTTAAAGCCTTACCCTTACGGTACCTGCTGATGCCCGAAGCTCATGAACTCTAAGCCTCCAACGGCGCTGAAAGCTTTCAACCCTTCTAAACATCTGGGGAGTTCCGAAAATAGGGGACCCTTATATAGTACCCCAAATAATAGGATCCCTATTATAAGGACCCCCCAAATAAGGTACCCTAATTTTCTGAAACTCTCATCTCAGGCCTCAGCCCGGTTTGGGCTGGGCCTCCGGCGCTTCCAGCGTCCCAGGCCGGGAAGTCGCGGAGGCCTCGGAGGATTCCGAGCCGGAGGACCATACCAGCCTTCTTGCCGACTGTTCTTCCACTGTCTTCTGTCTCTGCCTGTTGTCTCCCAGGTAGAGAAACCATAGGTATTTACGGTGGTTTCTCTATTTCAGCTATAGTTGCTGCTGCTGATTTTCCTTGTTTGCATCTAGTGGAAACCACCAACACCGGACATCGGATTCTGTTTGCCACTCCGCGTTGCATGCATACCGGTTGTTCAGAGAAACAACCTCTCGCAACTAAAGAAGACACCTCAGCTTCTGCATAATCAGTGTTGGCCTTTCAATAACGGACAAAAAGATCACAGAGAAGCATATTGATTCCTCTTCATTCTTGTCAGTGCCCGGTCAATGACTAAACAGTTTCTTCCTGTCCTGGTAAGAATTGGGCTCCTCAGACCAAATGTCGAACCAATCTCCATGTCTCTATATGATTCAGGGAGAACGTTGACAACGTCATACCTTCAGCACATGCGCTGTTCTCTTAAGAAGATTCAAGAGAACTCCGGGTTCGGAACATACTGGGGCCACACTGCACCGTACCATACTGAGGCCGCGTTGCACCGTACTGCTAGCAAAATCTAGTAAAGCTCTGCCCTGCAACACAACAAGAAGTAGCCCTTTTTCCGTCTTCAGATCCTCATAGCAAAGGTGGAGACACTTCTGTTTCTCATCATGCTAGAGAGAATGCAGTAAAACCATTGATTGGCATCTTGAGCACAGTTGATGGTTACTAGAATTATGACTTTGCTAAACGAAGGAAACAGTAGCACCATTAGTAACAAGCAATTGATTACCAAGGTACCTCCTAGCTGATTCAAGCGCGCGGCCATGCGTCTGTGGCTTGCCACCGTCACGTTGTGCCATGGCCTCACTGGTGGTGAGTTCACGGAGTGGCAAAGAATCCCCACGAATGGAGCCCGCACCCAAGCGGCCTTCTCAATGGATGGCGTCCAACACCTTGCAGTGGCCAACCACCGTGGCGATGCTACTCACAATGTAAACTCCAAGGTGTACAGATGGTATGATGCCAGCGAGTCCTTCGTGGAGCTGCAAAGCATCCCCACGAATGGAGCTTCCGCTTGGGCGCCCTTCTCAATGGATGGCGTCCAACACCTTGCAGTGGCCAACTAC